AACAGAAAAAAAATGATATCTTTTCGGAAAGGTATAACACATAAATATGTCATTTAACTTGGCATATCTATGCCCTCTAACTTTGGGCGTGCACACGTTGATGGTTAAACTTGTATAAAGTTAAACAAGTAGACACATGTGTTCTATGTCTATATTAAGAATAGAAGAGAATTATTACTTACTTGGGGGTTCCATTATTCTATTTTATGTTTCTTAACTTAATTGGATAGTGATTATAAATTTTTGTAGTTTTCTGGAAGGGGGCGGAGTTCCCACTTCTTCCTAGCTCATTTGCACTCCTTGTAGCAATTCTGCCAAAGCTTAGTTATTTTTCATATGCATATTTTCTTATAGTAGTGTTCCAGCACACCTTTACTATTTTACCGGTTACTTATATCCTCTTACCGATATAGGTATTAGGTAATTCTATCCACCAAGCGTTAGGCAAATAGGAAGAGATCATCAAACTCTTCTTTGTTTATGGCCGCTGTCGGGATTTAAATCCTGGTCTTCATTCTAGTCTCAGTGACCGCTAGCTCACACCTTTGCGCGACATCATCCACTGATTGTTGTGTTATAAATTTGTTTTGACAATGAAATGTGGCTTAAGACTTTTAGGTTCTGCTAACTAGGCTTTAGCATATAATTGAGCCGAGGGTCTATTGGAAACAACCTCCCTACCACGCAAAGGTAGGGGTAAGGTTTGTGTACATCGTACCCTCTCCAGACCCTATGTTGTTGTTGTTGTTGTAGACTAGCATATAAATTAAAGGTGGCAACACCAGTCATCCTGGGCCTCTGTATTTTAAAAATCAGGAATTAGTTTAATTTATCAGCACAGTTAGGGATTGAGCTTGTAGGATCAAGCTTTTAAGCTTTATGGAGATGAGAAAAAGATAGATAAAATCTTTATCTGCAAACTTTCATTCATAATAATTCGTTAAATTCTTTTATTGATTTCAATATTGTTATTTTCTTCTTTGTTTGTTTGTCACTTGGTGTTAGTCTTGTGCAGTTACTTTAAATAATACAAACGAAATTAAGACTTTTACAAGGGGAAGCTTTTGTTAGTATAGTTTTATCAAAGAACACTATGAGATACCAATTGATAGTCAAACAAGAACCAACGAAGGAGGGTCGATTTGAAGTTGTTAACCAACAAGGTTGCTTATGCTTGGGCACATGTAGAATAACATTATGTCTTCGCCTTGCAATGAAGACTATATAGCCTTGATAATGCTCGGAAAGTATTTATTTGTTCTGGTTCATTCTGTCACTCTTCTTGGCTTGATAATAGGCAAGAGACGCATTAAATTCTCGATGAATCATATTGGCCAACATAAAGTTGCCTTGATTTCTTTTCTGTTGTTTCTTTCTTTGTATACATACTTAGTTACTTCGCGTCCACTTTGGCTTTCTTGGTAACCAGCATACACTATAAATTTTTTTATTTTGCATACATAAATTTCTGTTTGCTGAGAGTTTATCCAAATGTTTCTATGCAGATTGTAATGCTTTCCCTTACCTTGATTTTCGCTATAGTCCACAGTGGTCTTGCTAGTCTTAGAGACAAAGGTGAGGAACTCATTGGAGAGCGTGCTTTTCGTGTATTGTTTGCTGGGGTATCTCTGCCATTGGCTGTCAGCACGATTGTGAGTTTCTAGTCTGCCATGCAGAAACTGAGGATTTAGTATTTTATTTTTTTTGGTAACTTTTATAATTTTACGGTGCAATGCTTGATAGATGGAAATTAACGAAAGGTTCTTATGATGATTTATAGGTGTATTTCATTAACCACCGATACGATGGAGTGCAGTTATGGCAATTAAACAGCATTGCTGGGATTCATGAACTAATTTGGATTTCTAACTTTATTTCCTTCTTCTTCCTATACCCGTCGACATTCAATTTACTAGAGGTAGCAGCTGTTGACAAGCCCAAGATGCATCTGTGGGAAACTGGGATTATGAGGATTACCAGGCATCCACAGGTAAATGCTCAACTTTCACTAAAATGTAACCTACCGTTGTAGAAGATACCAACTGAATGATTTCATAATGTGCCTTGTCCCGAAACACCAATGCCTACTTTTAGTTTCAAATCTCTTTCCAAATTAAATTTCAACTGTGGATTCAAACCACTTCACTTTGTACCTCGTATTATGTTTTAATTTTCCAGGATATGACACTGGGGAGGGTAGGATGTACGTACGCAGACCTTACTCCTACCTTTGTGGGGTAGAGAGATTGTTTCCGATATACTAAAGGAGGAGATGAGAAGAGGAGACTAGCCCCCTTCCTCTTGCACATAAAAGAACGACAACACTCAGCTATCTCATACCCTTCTACCCTAATACTTGACCTTCATACCCTCCTATCTAGGTCATGTCTTCAGTAAGCTGAAGATTAGACCCCCGGTTCTTCTATTTTCCAGGATATGACCCAAGTACTATGACAGAGGAGGTTTAGAGTCATGATTTCTGTAGGGTTCAGGCCTTCTTCTTTTTTTTAGGTTTTTCGTGTATTTCAGTCTGATATTTTAAATTATATTTCACTTTTGATTCTTAGAATCAAGAATTGGCTCTATAGGTCAATGGTTTTCTTTGAAGGAGTTAAATAAGGCATGTCACAAAGAATAATATCACAAAAAATGACGGGCAGAGGTTGCTGCAGAACGAGTCTGTACATGAAAGGAGGTGAAGGTTATTGTAATCCCAGTTCTGCTAATACATAAAAGGAAAGAAACCTACCAAATTGATGAAGCTGTTCTGTAATTGAGGATTTAGTAAAGAGGAATCATCTCGTGTCCTGAAAATCGAGAAAATAAGTGTCTTTGTGCATATATGTTACACGACAGTCCAGTATTTTTTCTTTTATTTGCTGTCTCATTACTTGGTATAAGTTATTCCGTCTTTGATAGCTAATTGAAGCCTCCATTCCTTATGTTAGCTGGTTGGGCAGGTTATATGGTGCTTAGCTCACACGCTGTGGATTGGGAATTCAGTTGCAGTGGCAGCCTCAGTAGGTTTGATAGGACATCATCTGTTTGGTGCCTGGAATGGGGACCGGAGGTTAGCCATACGATATGGTGAGGCTTTTGAAGTCGTGAAGAACAGAACGAGTATCATTCCATTTGCAGCTATTCTTGATGGTCGTCAAAAGTTGCCTGAAGATTATTACAAGGAATTTATCAGATTGCCATATTTATCGATAACAGCATTGACATTAGGTGCTTACTTCCTCCACCCCATTATGCAAGCTGCCAGTTATCGGCTACACTGGTAGTACCACTGATGTTACATAACTCGTTTCCATATAAGAAATCGCGATCACGAGTTGTATATTTTTTTTCCCAATATATATAGGTTACTGTTGTCTATTTAACTACTGTTGGAACACAAAGAAAGAAAGAAGCGTAATAGAAAGGATTCTGTTTAATGTGTTTGAAAGTAAAGTTCCAACTTTTGTTTCCCTTCAAATTCTATATGGTGTAAATCATGATATATGTCCTTGTTATTCCAATTTACATATATGTGAAGGGGTACACTCATATGGTATCAGAGTTATCAAGTTTGAGTTATGTTAATGAATTATTATTTTTTGTAGGACACGATTTATCTCTGTAGATGAACCTGCCTGGTGTAAATTTGGATTACTCCATTTAGCGGCTTCAAGTACCAAATAATTAACTAACGGCAATAGTTTTCATAAACTTATTATGTCTGAAGAAATGATTCATCAAAATAATGAGTTATCGTTAATATCGACACATCTAAAATCGTCAAATACTCAAAAGCTCCTCGAATTAATTCATCTAGTGAACTTCAGATATCGAATGATTAAAAAAATGATGCAAATAACAATAATTTTATGGTTAGACAAGGCCTACCTAAAAGGAGCAAGTCAGCTTGGACCAAATCCAAAAATGAAAAAAGAGAATTTTATTTTTATTTTTTTATAAAATAAACACTCTATTCCACTTCTGGTGTTGAGGAAATATCAAATAAAAGTACACCAAATTCTTTTGACTTTTTTTTACTTTTTGTGAGAATGAAGAATTACATGTGGCCAACTTGAATGATATTTTATATATAAATTCCCTTTGGATTTACTCTTCCTCATGCAATGTGATTGGAAGAGTAGGGAATGAGTAGGTTCACTTGGGATTTTAAAACTAAAAAGGAAAGATTGTAGAAGTATCCTTTAGAATGACTTGACATGCTCCACTTAAACCAATATGAAGAAATTTCCCACCCGATGTTCGATACTAGTGTTAAGTTTCATCAAATTTAAATTCATATCAAAAAGTTTTATATTAAAAAATAAAACGCTTCTCAATAAGACAACTCCACATCCAAGACTCAAACTCAGAATTCTGATTTTCAAACATAAATAAGTAGTAAAATTCTATTGATACATATACTTCTAATACTTTCTATAGGAACCTTTTTAATGTGGCATACATACATCAGTCACTTAAAAAGAACATACAAGTACATATATGTCACCACCAGAAATTTATGGTGCTACTCTATTATTCTTAATCAAAAATATCAGAATCGTGTTTTTGGTATAAAATCGTTTTTGATAAGCAACACTTTATCCTACGAAGTGAAGATCGGAGCCCAAAATAAATACCGAAAAATAATACGACTATGTATAAACTATGTAAACCCACCCCCCTTCACACACAAAGACTTCATGGGGATGGAGGATTTGGTTAGTGTGCTTTGTTTATTTCATAAAAATTGGCCAATATTGGGGCTGAGTTGCACAGTTTAACCAACTATATATCCACTTTATTAAGTTTCTAACCCACTCCATCATTTGAATAATATTCTCTTTTTTGCTTTCTAATTTAATGCCACATTGCCACCAACCTACTTTAATATTGGGTATGTCTTACATCTCTATAACTAAAATCATTCTAACTTCTTATTTAAGCCAATTGCTTAACACATCTCATTATTATTATAACTCTCTTTCTATTTATATATATATCTTCTCAATATTTGTGATTTATATGCTATAATAATTCACTATTGATTTCATATGCTAATGGGAAGAAATATGAAGGAAAAATCAGTAGAGAAGTTTTTCATTTTGCCATTCTTTGTAGGGTGTAGTTCTGAGTCAAGTGTTAGAGTGACCAACCAACTTGTGGAAACAAAGAATTCAACGCAAATAACAAGTATGGCTTTCTCCCCTTTTATATCTCAACCCCCCCCCCCCCCA